GTGCCAGCCAGAGGGGCCAGAAAAGCAGCCCTGGAAGCAGGTCAGAGCTGGGAGCAGAGTCATAGAAGCAGCCCACAGAGCAGACCTGTTTGGGAGGAGAGCTGCAGCAACCAGAGCCAGGGGGGCCAGAGAAGCAGACCAGGAAGTTGGAGGCAGAGCAGCAGCAGCAGCTGTGCTGAGGCAGAGTGGGGCTGGGGTGGGAACAGTCTGGAGCCAGGTGCGGTGAGCAACTGGGGAGAGCGAGGGGGCCCCTGAGCAGCGGGCCCAGTGCAGGGAGACGCCCCCAGCCAAGAGGCCTTGCAGGTCAGACTTGGAGGGGGATCGTAACCCCGACGGGGAGGGGGCAATGCTGGGAAGAAGGGTCCTGCCACCTAGAGCCTGAGACCGTGTGGCCACTGCCAGAGCAAACGTCCGACCCTCAGCATCCCTGCAGCACAGCCAGTGCCTGAGAGGGAGGCCTGGGACTTGTGAGGAACAGACTGAACTTCTCTTACATTCCAGAGATGCTGGTTATGATGCCCCCATGCCTCAGAGCGGGGTTATATGTTTTCTTTTAACCTTTCCCATTTTTCCTTATTTTTTTTAATTGATTGCGGTTTAATAAATTGTATTTGCTTTGAACTGAATGTAATCAGTGGGTCAGGGAAGCATCCAGTGCAGAGAGACCACCCCGCAGTGGAGACACCCTAGCCCAGGGGTGGGCAAACTTTTTGGCCTGAGGCCCACATCTGGGTATGGAAATTATATGGTGGGCCATGAATGCTCACGGTTCCCGGCCAATGGAAGCTGCGGGGCAGCGTGTGAAGCCCCCTGGCCGCCCCTACACATAGCAGCCAGAGGGGGGACATGCCGCTGCTTCTGGGAGCCACATGGAGCGGGGCCAACCCCTGACCCTGCTTCCTGGCTGGCGCGCTGGAGTGGGGCAAGCCCCGGACCCTGCTCCCCGGCGGGAGCTCGAGGGCCGGATTAAAGCATCTGAAGGCTGGATGCGGCCCCAGGCCGTAGTTTGCCCACCTCTGCCCTAAGTGACCATGCCAAGGCTGGGAGTCCAGCTCCCCAGGAATCCTGGGCCCAGCCTTGTTGGGGTTACAAGGACTCTGCCACACAGGAGAGCCCTCGAGGTCAGGCAGGCCTCTGGGTAAAGGAAGTGGGAGTGAGGACTCAGATCCTTTCACTAGCCCACTTCACCAGGGTAGTGTATAAGCTAGGAAAGTTCCCCACAATAGCGGACTCATTACCCCACTTACATACAGAGGAAGAACTAGGAGAATGATGATATCACAAGTGTATAGAAGAACAACCTTATTAACAAAAAGGGAAGGAGTTTTTATTCAGACTATTTACAACTTTTATTTACACCTATTTAACCCAAACATTTGGGAATAAAGATTTTTTTAAGGACTCAGTACTTCTTCCCCTTCGTCTAAGGGCAGGGAGCGTGCCCAATCCACATTTTTGTGATGCTCATTAAATCCTCCAGTAAAATTAGGGAAGTACAAAATAAGCAAGAGATTAAGATATATTTTAAAGAGTTTTCCTGACTCCTTTGTGCGCCAGAGTACCAAAAGAGGGAAATTTTATTCCTTTGCAGGTCACCTGTAAGTAGGGTGACCAGTCCCAATTTTATAGGGACAGTCCCGATTTTGGGGTCTTTTTCTTATATAGGCTCCTATTGCTCCCCCACCCCCGTCCCGATTTTTCACATTTGCTGTCTGGTCACCCTACCTGTAAGAAATTTCTTCTGAGACCAGATCTCTGACAACTGAGAAGGAGGGAAGCTAAATGTTACCCATCTCCCTTTGCCCTGCCTAAGGACATCACTGATTTTGAAAAGTGCTCACCTTCATCTAATCCACAGCCTAGAACCTCATGTACTCATTTACATGTTTGGGAACCTAAAGAGCCATCATCTTAAATGACAATTCTAACTGCATTGCCTTGCCCAGTTTATTAAAAAAAAAAAAAAAAAAGGACTGCGAAGTTGTTTGATTGCTGCAAACAGATACGCAGGGAAATTCCAACAGGAGCCTGAAACAAGGTACTTTCCACTGGATCACCAGTGTTGGTATGCCTAAGGGAAATGTCTGGACTTTTGAAAGTTTGTGTCCTTTTTCCTTTTCTTCCCTCTTATCATCTTGAAAGAGGCTTTTGATTATGTCTGTCTGTTTTATACTGCCTTAGAAATTCTCTAGGGCATGTCCTCCATACAACTACAGAATGTTAATCTACAGTTCCTAGCTCAGATTAGCAGAACAGCACAGTGCTAACAGATAACATCAAAGAAAGCTCACAGCACATTTGTTTGTGCCAGCACTCCTCGTTTACTTTTTCCCTAGTTTCTCCTCTAAACAGTCCAAGCTTTCCCTGGTACAGCACTGCAGGATGCGCAGAATAAGATGCCACACACCAGGGGCCTGTTGATCAGCTATATTAAAAGGGAAAAGAAAAAAAAGAAAAAAGAAAAAAAACACACGAGACACTCGTGTATTTTTACACTTGCAAGACTGAGCAATATCTTTCTATCATGCTCTCATTTGCAGAGGCTCTGTGAAATCCTTATAGCCTGGAAATTATTTCAGGTCATGCGTCAGACAACTATGGTGATTTTACCAAACACATTCAAAAACACATTGGGCTGGATATCAGCTGAAAACTACCCCAAATACAATTCCCCAAAAATGGATTCTCAGTTTTAAAAAGCAAGCTGCAGGTTTGCCGTTCATTTTCCTTCTATTTATGTTTTTATTCTGACAAGTAAGTGACTCTGAACTTCTCAGTATGAATTTGTTCCCAGAATAACAGGTTAATTGCAACATTCCCACACAGCCACTAGGAAGTGCCCTTGCTCTAATTTCCTTTCCCTTTAAAGACAGGCCCACCCCCACAATGGCTCGCAGTAGCTCTGTAGAGTGAGAAAGCGAAGATCATTAACTGTATGAGTGCAATGGAGCCATCAGTCAAATCCAGGGAGTGAACATTTAAAGTCTCTAGCTGGCTATTAGCACAGAAAAGGTTAGCAGCAGCTGCAACTCCCATTTAGCTTAGCCCAGTCAGCAGAGGTAAGAAGCATTTGTGATGCTGAACAAACTGTTAGAGGAATTTGAGAAAATGCATTTCCTACCCTGTCCCTCCAAGTATAAATTGGGGTTTCTAAGTCAAAAGGCTGCAGCCACCTTTCTAAAAACAGCAATGGTGTTTGTGAGGTTTATTCCAATACCCAAGAGAGCAAACAAAATGGTGAAGCGTACACTTGTATCTTCTCCTGCACAGAGTACAAGGCAAGACAATGAGGGCATTTTGCACATAAAGAGCCAGACTCCAAATAAATAACTTTACACTTAAAGAAAGCCTCCCAATGGAAGAACTTAAGGCTCACACATTAACCAAGCCCCTGGTATTGTTCCCTTTCTACAGATGGGGAAACAGAAGTGATTTCTCCAAGGTTGGAGAGCAAGTATCCGTGGTTTTGGTGAAAAGTGGGAACCAGCCAACAAGCTATTTCAGTAAATGCCGCGGAAGTGGAAGAAGCAGAGGTTTAAAAATAGGAATGGTTTATTATGATTTTACTTTATACTAACCAGGGTCTTCAAAGTGACACGTGAAAGCCATATAAAACTTATGGTCTTGAAAGTACAGGGCAGCCAGTGGTTGCTTTTTAATGACAAAGGGCAGAACAAAGCTGATCAGTGTCAGGTGTATTGCTAGGGAACTCAAGAGAACAGCGCCTAGCCCTCTATCGAAGAAAATACAAGACCAAGAAAATGCATTCTGGGCTGTATATTTATTTGTGATCAAGCAATAGTAGACATATTTCTATGTAAACACACAGCAACCCTGAGACCCTGGCCTATCCAGTGGAGTCTCAATATTGCAAAGCTTGGAGTCTGCCATTCTGGACTGTTAAAGGCTTGGGCAGTCTGGTAGGCAAGTGAGCAAGCACAGACACCTTATATAGGGGGTGCCATCGCAAGGCTTTGAGAGAAATACTGAATTATATTGGGAAACATTTAAAAAAATTGGAAAAACAATTAAACAACCCAGTGATCTGGGCCTTCATGGAAGCAGGAGAGTGTTTGCTCAGAGGGTAATTATGGTGGCCCTCCTGCTGCTGCTGTCTGCAAGGCATCCAGTGCACCCGCCAACTGGGGAAGAACAAAAAGCCCACAATTAGAGCTGACAGGCATGTCCTGGTAACAGCAGCCTCATTTACAGAGGAGGAGAGCAAACAGCAAGAGACAAATTGAATGGCCTAATCCTTCCCAGTATGGAGGGCCAACGCGGAAGGGCATCATTTGCTTTTTGAAATGAAACATTCCATGTCAACAACAAAAATAAAAGGGGGTGGGGGGAAAAAAAAAATCACACTGCCCTTTGCTCTGCCTTTAGCTGACAGCACAGCAATGAATGATGACATCTGAAATATTCTGTGTCGTCCTTCTGTTTAGAAACAGCCTCCAAGAGATTGGAGCAGAGAGACAGGCTCATGATGGGCGTATTTATAGTAAGTACTTCCTGGAAATGGGTTCATGCTCTCTGTTGCCACAACCCCCAGTGGCAAAACTAATGCAACCACAGCAACGTATCTTTGCCATGCTGCTAACATTCTTTTGCCACAAGGGGCATCACTCCCACAAGGAACACACCACACACTGGCAGCTTGTGTCCAGAGATGGAAAAACCTTATGAACATTCAATGCTATCATCAACTCTGAGCACCAAAGCAACATGCAGCAATGTCTGGCAGGCAGAAATACTGATTCTAATACAAGGGTAAGGCAAAGGGATGCTATCAGACTTTTTACACAAGTGCTGTTTTCTATCAAGAACAGTGCTTGTGTTCAACACATCACCAGCTTTCAGAGACTCTGAGCACCACCCCCACTGACGTTAACAGCAGCTGTGAGGGTTCAACACCTCTACAAGGCAGACTGCCTATGTATTTCAAGTCCCAGACTACACACTCCCAGTTTTCATGCCCTTATTAGCTTACTTATACTTGCCTCAAACGTGACGAAGTCATCAAACTCATCAGGACAGACAGAAGGTTCCTCCTCATGGGTATACCCCATCTCATACAACTGGCTGTCAGAATCTGAAAGCACAGAAAAGAAAAAGTCAGCTGTTACTAGCGGGGAGGAAAGAGATCAGAAGTGGATTTGAACCCCAAAATGAAGAGCATGTCCCTGCGAGAGCCTGTAGTTGCGGGCCAGAGTTGAGAGAGGACTTACTTTTCAACAGAGGAGGATTTTTATGAGGCAGGATTTTTAATTATTATTAAAGATCCCAGTTTGAGAGCAGCCAAAGTCACAGGATTAATCCAGTTAAAAAAGTGCTTCCTAACATTAGGTCCTTGGTGTCCCTCCGCACCTTGAAGGTGACTGGGATCTGGGTTTCTGTCTCCCCACAACATACCATGGCACAATTGCTGCCATCTCTCCTTTTCTGTGTGTTCTTTCTTCACTCTTTATTCTTCTGTGGTATTGTTGGTCACTAGCTTTTTTCACTGTTCTCCCCAGCAATGCCACCTCTTCCCACTTCCCCATTCTCCTACTCAGCAGAAGGCTACATGCTGCTGGGGGCAGGGGAATCCATCAGTTCTACACAAGACTGAACTGACTGCCATTGGACTGGTGAAAAGAACAGGCTGCTACTGAGCCTGCAGCTCCATCAGGAGCCACCAAGACAGAAGGGCAGGGACAGAGGGTGGCTTTCAAGGGGCTTTACTTGAGCCACTTTACCCAAAACACAAGCACCTTGACATTAGAGTCGATCTGAGATCATAGAATTTTTCTCAGCCCCAGTGCTCCCTTCTGCACAAGTCCTCCCCACCCCTCTGAGCAATACCTAGGACTCCTCCCACAGGTTGAGAAACACTGGGTTAAAGTAAAAAGCAACAGAGGGTCCTGTGGCACCTTTAAAGACTAACAGAAGTATTGGGAGCATAAGATTTCGTGGGTAAGAACCTCAATTCTTCAGCTGCAAGTAATGGAAATTTCCAGAGGCAGGTATAAATCAGTATGGAGATAACGAGGTTAGTTCAATCAGGGAAGGTGAGGGGTTAAAGTAAGATACCCAATCCCATGGGCTCAAATTAAATGGTGGGAGCAGGATCACATCTCTTGAATTTACACATATCAAAGCTGTTTAACTTGGATGACATTAACCAGGGCAAGGAATCACTATGGACAATAGTGTTTTAGAGAAGCTGTCCAATCATGTACAAAGCGACAAAGAGTCCTGTGGCACCTTATAGACTAACAGACGTATTGGAGCATAAGCTTTCGTGGGTGAATACCTACTTCATCAGATGCATGGAGTGGAAAATGTGTGTGTGTGTGTGTGTGTGCACAAGTTCAACATCTATCCAGAAAATGTTAATAAATAGCTTTTGCTATTAATAGATTTGACTTGTTATTAAGAGTAGGAGGCAGTATGGTCTATTATTATTATTTGTACAGAACACTGGACTGGAAGTCCAGTTCTGTCACTTACCTGCTGTGTAAGCATGATCAAATTACTCTTCCCCAGCCTCTTTTCCATTTCCCTTCCCATCCATTGACTTGGCTATTTAGAGTGAAAACTCTTCAGGACAGAGACTGTCCCAATCTCTATTGGGGCTTCTAGGCACTACTGTAACACAAATAATCACCACCTAAACAAGCTGCTTTCAGTCCATTCTAGGTCTGCAAATTGTTCTGCAATTTGCAAAGCCTGGGGAAAAGTGCTTTTACCTTAAGGGTGAAGAAAAAAAGTGTCCTCGCACAAGTGCCACCACCAAGCAATGTTTACCAGAATACTTCACTGCTATCATCAACAGGTCCTTTGAGAGCAGCAAAACCAAGGAGTGTGTCAGCAGTAACTGTGATGCACAGAAACTTGACTAGCAGCAGGAACTCAGTGGCCCAGGGGTGGGGAGACTGGGCTGAAACGTGCATACCTGGTTTAGCTAGCTTGCTATACTCATTACAAAGGAAGTGTACATTTACTTAATCCCCTCTTTCAAAGTGGGTTTTTTTAATTTTAAAAATAGGAGCAAACATCTCTTAAAAATAGGCCTGATTATTCCATGACTCCAGATCTCCTTCTAGGGTTACCATATTTCAGGTTCCCAAAAAGAGGACACTGCCAGAGGGGTGGGGGTGCAGGGAAGAGCTGGAGAGGTGTGTGTAGTGGGAGAGGTATGAGGGGGCGGAGGGGATACCTGCAACAGCAGTGCTCACTGGAGGTGGGGGGCAGTGTTGCTCCCTGTCATGGTGGCAGGGCAGCTGGCACAAGCCCAGGATGCAGTGACAGCCGTAAGTTAGCACCTCCCTGCAGGACCTCCTCCCCAGGGCTGGGTGGGCAGGATCCAGCAGTTGTGGCTGCAGGCGGATGGACCAATCAGCTGCAGTGGTAGGGCGGGACTAATCAGGAAGTAGACCAATCAGGGCTCTTTCTGAGCTGCAAAGACTGTTCTATAAAAATCCCAGACATTGCCTGATATTTGAAAAATCCGCCTGGACAGAGGATTAAAAAGAGGTTCTGTCCAGGAAAACCCAGACATCTGGTAACCCTGCCTTCACACCTATCTCCTCCCATCCCCTTTTTACTCTCCCTAACTCACCCAAAGCTAAGAGTTGCAGTAACCTTCCCTAAAACCCATCAATGTTGCCCTTTCAGTAGGCCAGTAAAAATGGAACATTATAACACACACACCCTGAATCCAAACTCTAGGAGTTAACTACTGTATAACTAACCTCTGGCTTGATGGATACCCTCACCTTATGTCTATGGACTGTAAAGCTATGCAATTTAGAGGAAGCCTACAACACATGGCATTCTGACAAAGCAGTCCTCCCTTAACCTGGATGTGTGGCTTTCAGTGGCGACACCATAAATCACAGTGAGGAACAAGATTGAACATGTTCTTTAGCAAGTGGTGTCTGATTATGTGCTCTACCGTATGAGAATGGCAGGGTCATTCCTTCAACCGATGAAAAGGTGCTCCTGTGTGCAATTTACGTCTGTAACATCTCTTGGAGCTGCACAGGCCAAGTTCTCTTTTGCCAGCGGTTATAGTCTTTTGATTCTGCTTTGTAATCAAAGAGAGATTGTCACATACTCAGCCAGAGCTAGTCAGTATTCTAAGGCCTGGTCCCCACTAAGTCCCCACTTCGGACTAAGGTACGCAAATTCAGCTACGTTAATAACGTAGCTGAATTCGAAGTACCTTAGTCCGAACTTACTGCGGTCCAGACGCGGCAGGAAGGCTCCCCCGTCGATGCCGCGTACTCCTCTCGGCGAGCTGGAGTACCGGCGCCGACTGTGAGCACTTCCGGGATCGATCTGGGATCGATTTATCGCGTCTTAACCAGACACGATAAATCGATCCCAGAACATCGATTGCCTTCCGCCAGACCCTCCGGTAAGTGAAGACAAGGCCTAACAGTGAGACAACTAGCCAGCGTTCCTCCTCCTCCTATGCAAATAAAGTGGTCATGTAAAAAGGCACTTGAAGACTGTTTTCTTTACCCCATTTTTAGCCCCAACATTATTTAAAAATTCAAAACCTTTTCCTATCAGAGATAGTTTCTCTCTCCGATTTTAGTTACTCGGCTCTATATGCAGCTTTGCTTTAAACGATGCTGGACAAAGCACTTGAGAATCTCCAGTAGCAAGGAACTATCCTGAACTGGCAGGGGTGGGCACATAACCCAACAGAGTTCTTCCATCTCAACTTTCCATCATTCTAGGATTTCAAATTTTGAAAAAGACAACGTGGGCTCCTGACTTCTACAGCTGCGAAAACCCAAGGAAAGTGTTCTCATTCCCAACCACAGGAGGCAGAGACAGGTTTCAGAGTAGCAGCCGTGTTAGTCTGTATCCGCAAAAAGAACAGGCACCTTAGAGACTAACAAATTTATTAGAGCATAAGCTTTCGTGGGCTACAGCCCACTTATTCGGATGCATATAGAATGGAACATATATTGAGGAGATATATATACACACACACACACACACACACACATACAGAGAGCATGAACAGGTGGGAGTTATCTTACCAACTCTGAGAGGCCAATTAAGTAAGAGGAAAAAAAACCTTTTGAAGTGATAATCAGGATAGCCCAGTACAGACAGTTTGATAAGAAATGTGAGAATCCTTACAAGGGGAGACAGATTCAATGTTTGGGAGACAGACCTGTCCTCGCTTACAGACAATCCCCCAACCTAAAGCAAATACTCACCAGCAACCACACATCACTGAA